CAAATGCAAAATATAATTTATTGTATGTAATAAATTCTAATTTTCTTCTGTGTGTGTGTAACTGGACCAAAACCTCCCAGCTCAGACACCCATGACTGTATATCATTTTGTCATTGAACTGCTGTTGCACTATAAGTAACTTCCCTCTAAAAAACTGTAAAAATGAGCCAATAAAAATATAGTGGTTCCATATCCTGAGAAAGCAGAACGTGTTTTAACCTGCAGCTGAGCCATGTTCCTTCTCTCCCACAGCCCAGTGCCCATGGCAGCACAAGCAGAGCCTTTACTCTGGTTAAATTCTCCCTGTCACTCACCTTCCCCATTGCCCAGAGAAGGCTGAAAAGCCTCAGCAGAGTGGTACAGCACAAGAACTAGGTGGGAACAGGCTGGGCTGTGCATGCCCTCGCCTTCAGAGCTGCGAGGGGGCTTTATTAGAGCTTAAAAGCAGTTGTTCTTTTTTAAGAGGAACAGGTGGTTTAACTAGACCTGGCTGCTTCAAATAATGTCCCAATTACTGTGTGAGGAGGTTGCGCTCCTAGGAGAGTTCCTGTGTTGGTGTGGGGTTCCCACTGCCACCACTGTGCCCAGCTCTGCCTGGTTTCAGTCCCTGGCTGCCTGTTGAGGAGAAAACAGCATGGTCAGAACAGCGCTGGGGGCAGCCCAGTACATGGATCCAATGGCGCAGATAAGAACCAAGCCTAGCAGTGTCTGGTGTAGAGCTGGTACCACAGGACAGCCCACACTTGGCATGTCCCATCTCAATGATTAATGCATCAAATGTTGCCAGAGGCATCAAATGTTGCCAGAGACAGACCTTTTGTTATGTGGACTGTAAGTGACATTTTATTTAAACCATTTATAGCCCTGATGAGGCTTCTTACCTGCATGGAAGGATCTGAGGCGTTTAATGCCATTTGCAAGAATGCACCTGCAAACCCAGATCCTTCACCAAGGGGAGATGCCTGGGTGCTTCAGGAAACTGCTGTCACACCCAGCCTAAAACACTCACCACAGTCTAGCACTCCTGACCCAGGAGCAATGGGGCAGGAGGTGTGTTGGCACCAGCACCACACAGCAACCTGTAGTACCCTGCAGGCATGGCACACCCCAGAGAAATGCCTGTGACTCCATGAGCCATTTCCCAGCTCATCAACAGCAATACCTTTTTTTAAACAGGCTTGTGTTTTGTGAAGAAGAGTGAAATCCAAGGCAAAAGCCAATGTGTGCCCTGTTTCCAGGCATGCCCTAATCCCATGGGTACCTCCTAGCTGCCCACCCCAGAAACAGACCAGGAGGTGCTGGGCAGGCCCCCCCAAAACCATGAGCTGTGCCTAGCTGTGTTTCCCAGCGAGCGCATCCAGCAAGGCAGCTGACAGATGCCTTACTGCACTGATGGCTACAAGGGATTGTGGTGTTGGTACCAAAACTTGGAAAAACCTTCCCTGGGGACAAGCATCCTCCAGAGAGTCTTCCCCTGTGGGCAGGAGCAGCTTGCCCCAGCTCCCCACCAGCTCTGAGCCCATGGGACAGGGATGGCATCCATGCTGTATTTCTCAGGACCCTGCAGGTTCCTCTATCTAATCTCCCAGCTCCTTTCCCTGTGCTCACAACACTTGGTCCCAGACCACATATTTCTCTCTCAGCATGCTCAGAGAGGAGGAAGGCTCTGGCACAACAGGGTAACCCCTCTGCCTGAATGCATAGATTATGAGCAACCTCTGCACCAGCTGCCTCCACTGCATCATATTTGGGACAGGATCAGTGTTTTCCATGGTGCCCAAACCTGTTTCTGCTAGATGCACCGAGAGCCATCAGCAATTGATTTGTTAGCTGACAGCAGGCGGCTTTGTTTGCGCAGCGCTGGCTGGCCGTGCTGCCAGGTGGCCAGAACATAACACCTATCAGGCAACACCTTCATTCACAGGGTCTGCTACTGAGAGCACTCGGGGTTCAGCACACTGCTTGGCCCCTGGGACAGCCACCAAGCTACACATGGACTTGGAACTTCACAGACACAGAGCAGGAGACAGCCCAGCAGAGGCCCAATGCTTGGGGCCTGGGCAGTGGGACAGTGCAAGGCAGGAACTAGTGAGGGGCGAAGACAGATCCATCCCCAAAATACTGTCCGAAGGAAATTGGTGTAAGTGGGAGGCTTTGTAACCTGTCACAGTGGTGCAATGCCCTTCTCTGCCAGGTGGCATGAGATGCAAAACAGTAATGCTGATGGCTCCCTGCAAAACTCCTCGGGTAGTTGGGGCTCACCCTCACAAAGAACCCCTCCAGAAACCCCTCAAGCCATCAGGGCTCACCCTCACAAGGAACCTATTCAGAAACCCCTTGGGCAGTCAGGGCTCAGCCTCACAAGGACCCAGTGAGGCAGATGAGGGGAGAAAGGCTGCATACACAAAGGCACAGCCGGCTCTGCCCAGGTTGCTGCAGCCCAAGGGATGTCAAAAGCAAAAATGCCTTTTACAGGATGCTTGTGAACGGAGCCATTTCCAGTGTACTCTGCTGTCACCTCTCCTTACTCCTCCCCAACACAGGAGTCTCCACTAATCACCCTTTCTGCTCAGCAGGAGATGCAATAAGTCAGTGCCGATGGTTACCCACACAGTTCAAAAAATGTGAGGAATTCTGGTCCTCAGAAATTTCAACTGATTCTTAGCAGGATAGACATGGATTTATCTGTCTATTAGGAAATGGACAGCTATTGTTTTGTGGCCTGCTGGTGCCACAGGCTTTGAGCACAGATTTCAGCAGGGACACTGCTGTGACTGTGTGGATGGAGCAATTAGGCTTCTCCAGAGGATGTGCCAGGCATCATCTGGAAATGGTGTCCAGTGGCCTGAGAGGACAGCCATGTGTGTTGGCAGAGTCCCCTCAGGGAGCAGAGAGCCCGCTCCACAGACAGCTGCAACACCATCCGCAACAGCCCAGGATCCGGGGCTTTCCAAGGCCAGGGAAGCCAGGAAAGGCAAAACTGCACCTCTTGCCAGGCAGGCTTTGCTGCCTATCTCTGGCTGTGCTCTTTTCCAGTGTATTGATTTACAGCTAAAACCACAGCTTTGCCTAGGCCTGAAGTCAGCCCTGGTACTACCAAGTTAGTTTCCTAGGAATCAAGACAACAGGAGCATACCCATACACTCGTACTGTTCAGCCTGACTGAACAAAAAACCTCTAACAAATCTTTCTCTAGAAAGATGTTCTTTCTCTACAAGCTTTCCTTTATCACAAAATAGAGCCAGTTCCTGGGAAACTTTCCTCCAGGAAGCTCAACCACCTGCCTTTTCCACAGTGAATCAGGGTTAGGAGTCTTTATGTGAGAGAAGATAGCAGGAACAGGCTGGAAACCTCTTCCAGGGAGCCAAAGTCTCAAAGGCATTGCTACCCCAAGATGAAGCAGTTCCTATACCCACACCAAGCCCTCACATCCCCCTGGCCTTTCACACACCAGTTCAGGAGCAGGGGTTTGCTCTTGAGGCTGCCAAGCAGATTTGCATGCTGTGAAGTTGGCTCTGTACCTGGTCCTGCTGGCAAAGGGGGAGACTGTATAGGTGCATACAACACCTGTCTGTGAGAGGGGTTTCACAAACGCAGCATGCACCTTTCCCCACTTACACAGATTTTGTAACAATTCTGATCAAACCCATCAAGATTCCCACATACAAACACAAGCCCTGGAGATAGATCAATCTACATAGATATGTATATATCTATATATATACAGTTATTGAAGGCTGCTACAGAAATCCCACTGCAAGGCACAAAGGACCAGGCAGAAGCCGGCTCTGGCCCTGCCAAGAATCAGAGAAATGCCTGTCCTTCCTTGCACCAGCTCCACAACTCATGGACAAAGCAGGATGCCGCAGCAGCCACCCAGCAAACAGCAGAGCCCTCATAGGCAGGGATTTCTACAAATTCTCCACTTACAGGTGCTGCTTCTCCTTGAGTTATCCCTACAACACCTTCCAGGGAAGGTACCTGTCAGCTTTCCCAAGCAGCAGAGCACAGGGCAGGCTGTGCCCAATGGTGGCTAGACCAGGTCCCATGGCCAGAGGACCCCTTTTCTCAGGGGGCAGCCTTTCCCCAGAGCAGCCATGCTGCATCCTGCTCTTCTCCCTTTAATTCCTTTTTAATTAATCTCATCAAATGGTGCAGAGCAGGCTGGTGCCTATGGAGGCACCCTACCAGCTGCAGTGTGGAGCCGGGTGCCAGCCCACCCCTCACCCCACCCCAAGCCCCCAGGGCCAGCCCAGCAGGGAGAAGCAGGAGGGATGTGGGCATGCTTGAATTTGAAAATATTTTATTTGAATAGTAAATAATTATACAGTTGAAACAGTTCTATTGAAGCACTCTATAAATAGCTAACAGTTAAGAAAATAATGTGTGTAGAAAAAGAGATTGCATCTAAAATTAAGAGCTGTTGGTTGCACGGGATAAAATGGTTAAGATCATGTGTTATTCTAGGTATAAAAGTTAAAACCTTTTTAGCAGATCCCTTAAGAAAAAAAGATCTTCTAAAACGCACAGTGAAATGGCAGGTGAGGAGACAAAAAAGCACATTAGAATATCTGCAATCAAATAATATCAATCTTCATAATTAATATAAATAAATAACGAATAAATAACATAATTACTCAAACCAACATATACAGATAGACAACTCATGAGCTACCTTAGTAAGGGCAAACGAACAGAAACAGAAAGTTGGCATGTCACAGTTAAGGCAGTTTCTACAGCATTTTCTGGAGACCATCAACAGCAGAGTCAAGGCATTTGTGGCTACACTAAAGGAAACGCTTGTTTCTCTCAAGCAGTTTGATCTGTTCACATCGATAAAAACAGAGCAAAGGAACAAAATTAAAAAAAAAATTAAAGTAAGAAGAAATTAAAAATAAGAGAGAGACCCGGGGAAGGTAAGTGTAAAGCCAGATTCCAGCAGGTCACAAGCTGTATTAAAGCTAATCGTGTGGCGGCCCCGGGGGAGCAACACGGGGCGGCGGGGAAGGCACGGGCGGCTCAGCAGGCAGGGCGCAGCGGCACCTGGAGCAGGATGACCTGCCGGTTCTCTGAGGGGTGGCACTTGTTGATGTGCCGGGTGAGACCGGGAGAGCTATAGAAGGTGGCCGGGCAGTACTTGCAGGGGAAGACCTGGGCGGCGTGCAGGAGGCGCAGGTGCCGCTCCTGGCTGCTCTTGCTGGGGAAGGTCTCCCCGCAGACGGGGCAGAGGCGGCACTCGGCGGCAGGCAGCTCCTCGGCGCTGGGCCCCGGGGCTGGTGCGGGTACCGGGACTGGCGTGGATGTCGGTGTAGCGTGCCCCAACAGGTGCTTGCGCAGGTAGGCTTGCCGGCGGAACCGCTTGGCGCAGCGGGGACACTCGAAGAGCCCCTCCTCGGAGCCCGCCTCCGAGGCTCCGCCAGGGCTCGGTGTGTCCCGCTCGCTGCCACTGCCACCGCTCGCCTCCTTCGGTGTCTCCTCCGCCGGGACCGGGCCTGGGCCCGCGGCCGGTGCCCGGCCTGCCTCGGGGCCGCTCTTGGTGGCGGGTGGACGGGGTTTGTGCCAGCGGCGGTGGGAGGCGAGGTTGGCGGGGCAGGAAAAGACCTTGTCGCACTCGGGGCAGCGGTACTCCACCCGGACGATGCGGGAGCAGCGGTGCTGCGCCAGCGCGAAGGGGTCCCCGTACTCCTCCTTACAGAGCTGGCAGATGAACTCGCCCAGCGGACGGGCGCAGCCGCCTCGTGCCTTGGCCGGCACCTCCACCGGGCCCTCCTTGATGCGCAGCCCCAGCACCGGCGAGGTGGTCACTTCGTCCTCAAAGGTCAGCTTGCGGATCGCCTTCGTCTTCTTGCCCGACTGGGCCTTCTGCCGCCCAGGTTCGGAGGCACCCGGCGGGCGCTTGGCGGGCAGCGGGCGGCCCGAGGCAGGCGGCGCGGCCGGGGCGGGGACCCCACCGGGGCCGGGCTGGGCGCCGGGCGGCTCGGTGTGGCCAGCAGCGGCCCAGAGCTTGAGGTCAGCCGGGGCGAAGAGGATCGGGTCCATGGTGCCGGGAACGGCCGGCGCGGGGAAGGACTCGGCTGAGACGGGCGAGCCCAGGCTGAAGCCGCGCTCCAGGTATTTGTCCCTGCTGACGGGCCGCGTGGGGCTATACAACGCCTGCACGGCGGCATCGGGCGTCCCGAATGGCACCGGCGGCGGCGAGTCCCGCGGCAGGGGCGGCGGAGCGGCGGGGCAGGCGGGCGGCTGGGCGGCGCCGGCGGGGAGCGGCGAGCCGGCGACAGCCTCGCGGCAGCAGCGCACCCGGTAGGACACGGGGGTGGGCCGCCGGCTGCGCTTCACCAGGAAGCCCCGGGGCATCTTCGCGCCGGCTCCGGGCCGGCTGCAGCTACGGCGGAGGCTCCTAGCTCTGCCCGCGGCGCAGCCGCTGCCGCCTTTAAGCGGGCCGGGGCCATTGTTCGGGCCGGCGGCGGCGGGACGGGCCAATCAGCGGCGGCGGCGGCGGCGCGGCCGCACCTGAGCCCGGACCGGCACACGCCCGGCCCCGCCCCCGCCCGGCCGGCACGCGCGGTCTTTGTGTGCCGCCCCCCGCGCCGGCAGCGGGGCCGGCAGCGGGTGGTGGTCTCGGGCCGCCAGCCAGCGAAGGCTGCGCCGCCGGGAAGCTCGGCACGGAGCACCGTCCACTCTCGACGGGCTGTTTGCGGGGGCGGCCGCACCGGGGTGCGGGGAGAGGGGAATTCGACGCACGAAGAGGCGAAAGTGGCGCTTGTGGCAGCGGCGGCACAGAGGGGAGCGGGGATGCCCGCAGGGGGTACTGCCCAGCGGCGGCAGTAGGTGGCCAATGACGGGTCTGTCCGAGCGGGAGGAATAACGAACGGCTCATAAGGGCCCGGCCGAGCCCGGCAACCCTGCAAACGGAACAACTCCGTGCTGCTGCGGGGTTAGGGCAGGCGGAGCCACAGCCCCGGCCCAGTGGTGAACGAACCTGTTACTCTAACCCGAACGGGTCAGGCCCAGTTCCCGGTACAGGCGGGGACGGCGACGGTGGCGCTCGGTTTCAGCCCGAAACGCTGCGCATCGGGTACGATGGGTGCGACGGGGAACGGGCAGAGGGTCCTCGCTCCCCGCGCTCCCGCACATCGCGGTCGGTGTCTAAGCAAACACGCCCGAAGGCCCCTAGGATGCGGCAGGTGCAGCCGTAGTGGGGAGAGCCCTGGGCTGCGGCCCCGCTCCCACAGCCCTTTGTCCGCGGCGGCGCGGGGTTGCGCGCGGGGGGTCGCGGGGCCGCCCCGCAGGTGGCGGGACCGGGGGGAGAGGAGCCGCCGCCAGGCCGGGGGCGCGTGCGGGTAGCGCCCTCCCCGCCCCCCGCCGGGCCCTTTGTGGGGGGCGCGGGGCACGCGGGCGGCACGCGAGCGAGCGGGGCCCCCCCCGCGCGCGCCTTTGTGTGGGTCATTAGCATAAAGCTGCGCGACCCTCGGCACAAAGGGCGGCGAGCGGGGGGCGCCTGCGGCCGCCGCTCCCCCGGACACCCCCGCGGCGGGCCGGGCCAGGCGGCGGGGGGGTTCGAGGGGCCGCCCCGCCCGCCCGTGTGGGACAGGCATGCGGCGGGGCGGGGCGGGCGGGCGGCGGCGCATTAGCATACAGCTGCGGCCCCGCGGGCACGCGCCGCCGCCTCCCCGCCAGGGCTACGAGCTGCGACTCCACCGATGGGGCTGAGATCTCCCTTCACCCCAAAGGGGCTTCACATCGAGACTCCCCGTCACTCGCGGGGATGCACACCGAGACACCCCTGCCCACGGCTGGGGCTGCGCACCGAGATTCCCATCGCTGCCTGGCCTGCTCACCGACACCCACACCACGGCGGGGGCTGCGGCCCCGGACCCCGTTGTCCCACCATCTCTCTCTTACCTGCAGCCGACAGCAGTCTGTAGGCATCGGTCGGGGCGAACATGGGCAGGTGGGCGCGGTGGTGGCGCAGGTAGCGCAGGATGGGTTCCCGAAGTGATGGCAGGCCAGGTTTCTGCTCAGGGTGCTGCTCGGTAGCAGTGGGCTGTCCGGGCACCTGCAGGACAGAGCTGTCAAACAGACAAACGGGACTCGGGGCACACTCTGGAGACATGGAGTGTGGCAGCAGGGTCTGAAAACAGCCTGAGAACACATCGGGGCTAGAACACGGGCGGCAGTGGGGTTTAGAGTGCGGTTCACGCTGGTAGCACTGAGCACTCCTTGAGGTCAGTGGTGCTCAACTGTTTGTTCACCTCTCCCTCGCAAATGACTGGCCACAGGTGCAAGGGTTTTGTGGAACAAACCCGTGTGGAACCCCTGGTTGTCCAACATGGTTTGTCAGAGGGGTTTTACCACAGGAATTCCACACTTCTCCCCCCAACCCCCATATTTACTGTGGCTTTTAACCGAGTCTCAGCATGGCCCAGCTGCAGCCAAAGCACCAGGCCATTATTCCTGATGGACAACAAGTGCTGTTCCGGTAGGTCTGGCACGGCACATGTGCCCACGGCGTGCGGCAGCATCCAGCAGCTGATGGAGGTGCAGCCCCCAGCTCCGCCATCTGCATGTTTGCATCGCTGGAGCTGTGCACGCCAGCACAAACACATGGCTGTGATCCCCGAGGGGTAAACATGCCCCGTGCCAGCAGCCCTGCCAGAGCCCTGTGCTGCCAGGGCAGCCTCGGGTGGCAATTACAACACAGGCTAAATGCACGGCCCGTCCCAGAACATAACTGGCTTTTCTATGCAGTTAGTGCTTCAATTAGCAAATATTTCTGTAAATATTACCCCCCATTGCAGGACACTGATTTCCACTTTCTCTGGAAACTAACCAGAAATATCTGATTTCTGTACATTTATGCCCACAGCTCTTAAACATCTCTTTCCCTCATTTTTACACTTCATTAGTAATTTTTCTGCATGCTGAAATGAGCTGGACTCTGAGCATCAGGAGGCAAATACAGTAGGTCTCTTACTTCATACAGAAACACAACCAGTCCTGAGGCATTTAAGAGCTACTCCAAGAGTACATGGTACCTACTCTGGATGTGGGAATGTGCCCAGAAGGAACACCCAATGAAAATATAAATTGTGACATTAAGTAAATATAGTTAAACTCACTATGAAAAAAAATAAAAGTCCAAAATGCCAAATTTTCATTCAGATGGAGATACCATCACCTATGTCCATGGGAATCCTGACTCATACAGAGCTGCTTCCAGGCCATGCAGGGAGACTGTGTGTCAGGACTGCTGCCACAAAGACAGGGTATAGCAAACGAGTCCTGCATTTGTAGGGCACAAATTCCCCTCTCAAGTTGTTCACACAGCATGACAAATACATTTGAATGATGGCAAGAAAAACACGTCAGGTCCCTCATTCTGCACAGAACTTAATTTTGTACTCTTTTATAGAGGTCTTCCAAGAGAACCCAAATTAAACTGCACCAAGGTCCTTTCTGGGTCAGGACAACAGGAGGCAAATAGCTCTGAGCCCTCTGGGGAGGAAGCAGGCCTGAGTGCGCATGGCTGCAATTAGGATGCAGCAGTATTGGACCCTGGAGATGGGTGGACCATCTCCAGGGGAAGTGGGCTCCACTTCCTCTTGCCACCCTACCTCCATTTACAATAATTTCCATTTGTTTTCCACACAGTTAAAAACTCCATAAGCACACGTTTAAAACCCAGTGCCACCATCTGGCACTGCATGGGGTTAAACAAAGGCAGAATCAGTGGAAGCAGTGTGAGCTGTGTGAACTGGTCCTGGGTACTGGGTTGGAAGCACCAAAATCAGACCACAAACTCTTTTTGGTTTCAGCCAGAAGTTCCTCAGGAGGTGGGGAAGGCAATTCTGGGGGCTGCTGGACACCTGCTGTTGTTATTAGTTCTCCTCATGGAGCACAGTGAGTTTGGATTTTGGGCAGGCAGTTCCAGGCTGCTGAGGCTTTATGCCTCTATTATGGTGCTAGGGCCTAAGCTGTAAAACAGCATTGGCAAACATTTTAATTCCATCCTTATTCAGGAAATCCACTCATCACTGAAAAAGCCAGCTGCTTTCACCCTTTGGACTACAAAAGCCATTCTGTGTGGGTAGGTGTTGAAAACCCTACCTACAGGCTCAGCTGAGAGAGGTGTAGGATGGCCTGTAGCATATTCCTATTAGGGAACACTCCTAAACCCAAGGGGGATACATGGACAAGCCAGGCTCCAGATTCCACTGGGTACTTGTACTAAATTGCAGCTATAATGCAAAAATGCAGTCACAGACAACAAAGCAAGTTTGAGTTCTACTGGCAGATTTGAGAATATACCCAAACAAGAAAACTGAACACTGTGCTGTACATGGTGACTCCTGCTGTGAGGTACACAGTCTGCTCCGGCTTCCTCGAAGAGAGAGGTAAACAGAAACATAAAGCTTCAGGATACAGATGGGAGAGTAAATCAAAGTGACCAACATCAACAAATTACCTAAATAATAAAATGCACTCCGCAGTCATTTTTCTTACCTGTTCTGACATCAGGGTTTGGCGCAGTTCCTTCTGCAGATCAATAAACCGATCGTGATAGATGGCTAAGGACCAAGGTTCCCTGAAGTAGCTGGGTAAAAAAGAAGAAAATTAGTTATCTTGTGAACCTCTCATTAACCACTAATAAAGTACGTTACCTGCTTTTTTGCCTTTATAAATTACAGTTCTGGACCCATCATGATCGTTTGTTCATAAAATGCCTCCTTGTAACAGCATGGTCAATCAATTCTTTTAATGGATGTTCCTGATGTACAGCCAGCTTCAGTAATTACATTTAAAGTGGCTTAATTCAGAGCTGTGGCAAGACCCAGTGAAGAATCCTGATTTTATCAGAATTTAAAAGCCTGAAGACCTGTAAAGAATGGTGTCTCCATTATCTGTCCTCATTTGAGAAAAGCAGATTGCAGGATTAACTTAACTACTGCATAAACAAATTAAATTTGTGTAGACAATGACACAAATGTTGTTCATCGTTAAGATTTCTGGATTAATAAAAGCCAGAAAAACAGGGCCACCACAGCGCTGCAGTATGTTCTTTGTACTAGTGTGATGAAGCTAAATTGAAATGATTTCTAGGAGGAAGCTCTTGCAACTTTTTCTTTCAGCTACAGCATTCACAGCAGCATTCTTCCATGAAAAAGGATGGAGAGGGCACTGCTCCCTGTACAAACTCATGGCTGTAAATACAACTGGGGGCAGCCAGATTATAAAGCTGTGATTTACATCTCTCTGTAATGAAAGATAATTTTTACAGCTTGGGTGAGTTGCTCGGAGTGTAATTCTTGTTGATGTTCACAGTGGTCAGGAGGTGCCCCACACTCATCTTCATA